AAAAAAATCAACTTCAAAACTGATCTCTACTTTTTTTTCAGCAGTGAAAGAATAAACTAAACTACTACACTAAATGAGGATTTCTTCAATACTAGAAAATATTTAATATTCAAATTAAATTTGACCTCAACATAATGACAATACTAATTTGTAATTGTTAGGAGATCTTGTAGATGGAACAAAAAATTATACTTTAAAGAGGATATTTATGTTGTTCCCTCAGACTTTTACTTTTCTCAAAGAATGATCAGAAAAATAATATAAAGGATGTTGATTACATTAATTCAGTTTTCAGAAAGAAAATTCCCTGTGCAACATGGAATAGATTACCAAATAATCTGTAGCTTTGTATCAATGCTACTAAAACTCCTTTGAAAACAAGCTTTGGGGAATTTAAATGGACATAAATATGCATAAATAATTCAATACATCTAAAAGCTAGTCAAGCTATATTATCTGCTTAAGAATGGGGATAAGATCTGTTTATGTTCTAAATTAAGCTTTGCACATTATGTTTTCCAGGATTTCTCAAGTTTATTTAAACAAATAGTAATATTTGTCAAATGTATACTATGGGACAAATTTTAATACAATTCTATTAGAATCATTATTTGTACAGACACAGCTCATTTATACCCGAAATGTATTCCTGAAAGCACGTGCATAAACAAATATTTGAAAACTGAATCACACTGTAAACATTTTGCAGACCTTAATACTAAAAGGGATGAAACACTCTTATTAAATAAACAATTATCACTATTTTAGACAGGCAAAGCACAACTTTCAAATATCTGAGGTGCTTGATTATCCCACTTAAAATAGTATAGTCAATTCCAAAATCATTTATTTAATTAATATTTTGAAAGCAATTAGTATCAGTGCAATTCCACTTTCACAAACCTGAATGACTTTTGTAGCATTCAAACTACTGCTGGTTTATAGGAAAGGCGATACTCGTTATGAGATATGTGGCTGAGTATGAGAGCATCCTACTTCATCCTGGAGTCCCTAATTCACTACTCTTCACTACTCGGCTGTAGTTCTTCATGAAAGAACTCTTTACAAATATTCTTTTCTCAGCCACAAATACAAATACTTCATTAAATTTCTCAGAATATAAAAATAGATGCCAGTACATTTACAGGCACTAAATCACACAAATGATTTTTTTTTTGTCTCTGTTAAGGGGATATGGACATATGTGGATAGAGAGTAATGATGGTGATTGTTATGTTTAAGCTTTTTGCCCCTTTCTTTTCTACTTTTAATGTTACAAAATAAAAAAGCAAAATTATTATTGATCATACTTGAGGACATAAAATAGCTTCATTTATCATATCCAAAAGAGATGTTATAAAGACATTCATTAAAATAATATTGTACCCACCCAACAAAAGTATTTGTTAAGTTCCCAAGAAACATTTGTAAAATATAAGTAAAAATTAATTTTAATAAAGAATTCTGCTTAGCTGTCAAACAATCTACAACAACATTTTTCTGATCTAATGAAATGATAATGGAGGCTTTCTTCTAATCACATAAGATTTCTAGTAGAGTTTAGAATATAGAAAAGGATCAGGGAATGCAGGCAGTTGACAAAAGAGTGGTGGTGAAAGGAGGAAGCAAGGAAAAGGGAGTTTCTTTTCAGGAACAACCATGGGAGAAGACAGAAATAAGGCCTCAGAGCACTCAAGTCTCCCACTTGTCACCATTAGCTGCTGTTCCAATCAGGACAGAAATATGGGCCCAGCCCACAGTCCATCTTACTATGCATTGCATCCTAAGGACATTTCCAAAAGAATCATTTGAAGCACACACTATCTTGATGAGCTACATACTTAAAAATAGTCAGTGATAAAAGTGGAGGCAATTCTTCTATGATCCAAGAAAGGATATGTATATATGTATGTATCTGTGTATTTATATTTGAGAAAAAGACAGATACAGAGAGACAAACAGAAATCTCTCATTAATTGGTCCATTCCCTAAAGGCCCCATGACAGCCAGGACTGAGCTAGGCCAAGGTCAGGAACTAGGAACTCAATCAGGTTTCCCATGTGGCTGGCAGGGACTAACCTACATGCACCCCACTGCTGCCTCCCAGGTTACACATTAGCAAGAAGTTAGTATGCATGAGCACAGACAATATTCAGAGCACTCTGCTGTTAGGGAGCACTGGCATCCCAACTGACATTTCATTACTAGGCAAAATGCCTACCTCAAGATGTTTATTTAAATGTCACTCATTGTTTGAAAAAAATTTTACATTCTAATAAATTCACAAAAAATTATTTTTTACCTTTATGCACATAGAACTTAAACAATGGAGACAGAGTAGAATATGACAGCATGAGAATTCACGAGTTGTCCAGTTTTTATTACTGACCTGCTCCATGGCTCATTACATGAGTCAAACTAATTCAGTCCTTATTTATTTAACTACAGAATTCTATAGATTTCCATGAAATATTATGAGATTTGAAACAAGTACAATAGTTATATGAATGGTTTCACTTAACAGGGAAGAAAGAAAAGAAAAAAATTAAAATTTTAATAAATTATGAAATATATTTTAACAGAAGTAAATAGAGAGTATCACGGGAGTTCCAATTTCCAGATAAAGGGAAAAACGACAGTAAAGTCACAAGAGGTGAACATGAGACACTACAGGAACAGAAGATGGTAGCAAAGACGTGGACAGAGAAAGAAGAGGTGGTTATAAAACAGGCAATGGCCAAATCCTAAACAATACTGTTTGACATGAGAAAAATGTTGATATCACTGACTGCTGGGTTTGGACTATGTTGAAGAAAATCATATCTTGAGGACAAACAGGAGTCACTTTAAACATTCCCAATGTTAACCATACCAGTGCAAAAAAGAGCATACCCTGGAATGGGTGAATAAGGGAGCATGCTGTCTCCAATATCAGAAAAATGTAAGGGAGAGAAAAAGAAGAGACAATGAGAGAGAGAGAGAGAGAGAGATTGTTCTACCATCAACTAAATCACTCCTCAAATGGCTGCAAAGACTAGGGCTGGGTCAAGCTGAAGCCAGAAGCCCGAAACTCCAACTGGGTCTCCCTTGTGAATGGCAGGGGCCCAAATAAGTGGGCCGTCATCTGTTGCCTCCCCAGGCACGTTAGCAGGAAGCTGTGTTGAAAGCAGAGCAGCTGGGACTTGAACCAGTGCTCTAATGTGGGATGCCAGTGTTGCAAACAGCTGCTTAACCCGCTGTGCCACAATACCATACCTGACCCTTATACTTCTGCTATAATATATCTGCTATAACTTTAGCAGATATGTCACTATGGACCAAGATGGATTTAGAAGAGTTAAGGGAGAAGACTGGGTATATTCTTTTTTTCTTTTTAAAGATTTTATTTATGGTGCTGGTGCTGGTGCTGTGGCATGGCAGGTAAAGCTGCCACCTGCAGTGCCAGCATCCCATATGAGTGCCAGTTCAAGTCCCGGCTGCTCCACTTCTGATCCAGCTCTCTGCTATGGCCTGGGGAAATAGTAGAAGATGGTCCAAGTGTTTGGGCCCTTGCACCCCCGTGGGAGACCTGGAAGAAGCTCCTGGCTCCTGGCTTCAGATCAGTGCAGCTCCAGCTGTTGTAGCCATCTGGGGAGTGAACCAGCAGATAGAAGACCTCTCTCTCTCCCTCTGTCTCTCTCTCTCTGCCTTTCTGTAACAACTATGCCTTTCAAATACAAAAATAAAAATCTTTAAATAAAAAAAAGATTTTCTTTATTTATTTGAGAGGCAGAGTTACATACAGTGAGAGGGAGAGACAAAGAGAAAGGTCTTCCATCTATTGGCTCAGTACCCAAATGGCTACATTGGCCAGAGCTGAGCTGATCCAAAACCAGAAGCCAGGAGCCTCCTCTGGGCTTCCCAGAGGGGTGCAGGGGTCCAAGCACTTGGGCTATCTTTCACTGCTGTTCCTGGCTATTAGCAGAGAGCTGATTGGAAGAGGAGCAGCCAGGAGTAGAACTGGTGCCCATATGGGATGCTGGCACCGCAGGTGGAGGATTAACCTACTGAGCCACAACACTGGCCCTCCCTGGGTATATTCCTGAAGGAAGTCAGTGCTAAAGGTAAAAAAATCTGGTGTTCTGAGAACTTGGCCATATTTATTCAGTGGCAGGTATGGTGTCAGACAGGGAGGAAATGATGGACAACCCTATCATTATGGAGGTTAATAAGGGACACAAGAAGAACCAAAACGAGTAGACAGAGGAATACATAAAATGCGAAGTATGGAAGGTGCTATGAAAGAAACAGAGCACTACATCAGGGAAGGAAGGCAGTCACCAGTGGTCACCCTGAGGATGTGACCTAAATGATGGGACAGCTACTCCCCAAATAGAGATGAAATCTTCAAGGCAGAGAAGCAAAGTTCTGAATTGAGAAAGATTTATTCTGCATTCAATAAGCCAAGAAGGACTTAAGCTGAAGTTATATAATTCAAAATGAGATTTAAAGAGGATCCATTTTGTTGCAGTAAGGAATGGATCAGAGAAGGCAAAAGGTAAGAGCTTGGTTAGGAGACCTGGTGCACTGTACAGCCCCTTTTCTTTATATAAGAGTACTGCCCACAGGGTGAGAAGAATCACGTTCTTAAATTTGTACTTATGCAATGCAAGAAATTTGTATCTGTTAAATAAAATTTTAAAAAAAAAAAGAGTACTGCCCATGATTTCCTTCATATGTTTCATCAAAGTCTAACATACCCCTAGAAGAAGTTGACATTGGGGCTGATATCTCTTTGAATACACATGGAAAAATAAGTGCAATAATGTGTTTAATTGTCATCAAGTTTTCATGCACACTAAAATTTTCAATTTGAGAATATTGCAAATTTAAAAGATAAGTATATTAAAGCTATAATTATATTTAAAAGATTTTTAAAGTTATATGAAAAGAACTAAAATAACTCAAATTTATCTTTACATGCAATATAACTACATTTCAGATGATTCCTCAGACATTACCTTGGACAAATCTCTGAAGTTGCTTGGCAAGGTCAGATCCAGTTCTTCTGATTCATAGTTAGTGATGACCCAGGGAAACACTGGATACTGATTCAAGTCATTGTAACTCCGTCCTAGTATGGGGAAACACAGTGATTTAATTTGGAATTAAAATGAAATGATAAACAAATTAACAAGTGATTTCTAAAAACACAATCCAAGTAAATGATGAGGTATCCATCCACGTCTGCACTGCAGTTTTCTGGGTGGCACTTTAGGGAGGCAACAGAGTGGATGACATCACTGTTTCTGGAGTCAAAATGCTGGTGTTTAAATCCCAGCTTCATTATTTAAGTCTATAACCTATTTTTAGTTACATTTAAAGACAATAGACTTTGATGACTAGAATATAAAGGAGACAAGCATATTAGTATTGTTTGAATTCCTTTCTTATTATGCATTCAATCACCTACATTTCTCTCTCTCAAACATACTCTGAGGTTGTTATCAATACACAAATGAATGTTCAAGTAGTTTTCTATAGATATTCTTGGTATCCAAGCTTTTTAATGATCTTTTTTTCCCTCTAACTTTCCATTTACTCTATTCACTGGGCTTGAGGCCTATCAAGGTAACAGAATTCTTCTTTGACCTGGAAACAATCTTAGAAAACATGAATAATAGGACAATTTTAATCCAGAGTTAATTATATCATTTTATATTTCTGTCAATAATTTTAAATTCTCCCAGAAAAAAACAACTAAACTTAGCAGGAAAAGGCAAGAGCTTTTTTGATTCCTCTCTTTTCCATCTACCTCCTTTTCCTTCTGATTTAGAAGTGGGTGGGAGGGACGGTATGTGGGGGAAGCCATTGTAATCCATAAATCGTACTTTGGAAATTTATATTCATTAAATAAAAGTTAAAAAAAAAAGAAGTAAACAGTAAAATCTTTATTATGTCCCATCTGCTTAAATAATCTGAAACAATAAAAAGTTTATTGTACCTTGAAAACAGAGTATATACCAACGCAGTGAGATTAGATTTTTAACTAAGTTAAACTCAAAATATAGCTACTGAATGCCTATTAACTATCATTTGAGAAATATGTCATAACATCATAAAAACGTATGGGTTGTGCAGACAATAAGGTAAACCAAGTCATTTTTAAATTTTTGTTTTGCTTTATTTTTAAAAAGATTTACTTATTTATTATCTACTTGAAAGGCAGAGTGACAGAGAGATAGACGGACAGAGATCTTCCACTCACTGGTTCACTCTACAAATGCCCACAATAGCTGGGGCTGGACCAGGATGAAAGCAGGAGCCAGGAACTCAGCCCATGTATACCAGGTGGGTGGCATGGACCCAAATACTGCTGCCTTCTAGGGTGTACATTAGTAGGAAGCTGGAGTCAGAAGTACAATCAGGAACAGAACCCTAGGCACTCCAATAGGGATGCAGGCATCGCAGGTGCTGTCTTACCCACTGTGCCACAGCTTCCCCAAATTTAAGCCTTTAATTGTGAGGCCCTCAACTTCAGTCTTCATAACACTCCATGTCTCTTCTCCATTTCCCTAGCAGGGTATTTTTTCTTTAAGAGAACGGAGTTTTGGGTTTTGTTTGTTTGTTTGTTTTTTAAAGGAGAGAAAGGGAGGGAGTGGGAGGGGGTAGAGAGGGGAGAGAGAGAGAGAGATCTTCTATCCACTGACTCACTCTCCAAATAGTTGCCAACAGCTAAAGCTGTGCACTCCAAAGCCAGGAGCCCAGAGCTCCATTCAGGTCTCCCATGTGGGTAGCAGTGTCCCAAGGACTTGGGTCATCTTCCACTGCTTTTCTCAGATCCATTAGCAGGTAGCTGGATTAGAAGTGGAGCAGCCAGGACTCATACCACTACTCTGAGACGGGATGGAAGCATTGCAGACAGCATCTTAGCTTGCTGCACCACAATGCCAACCCATCAGTGGAGCTCTTGAACTTATCTCTCACATAACTGGAATTGTTTCTCTTCATCTTTCTCTCTCTTTCATGGCTTCTTCCCACTGTCCTAACCCATTCTCTCTTTAATATCACATTTAAGAAAACTGTAATCTACTTCTGAAGTTTCTATGTCACCTCAAACCATTCAATTCTTTATCCTCAACCTTCTAGGCTTGTGTTGAAAATGAACCCCTATGAAGTAACCAGTAGGTCCCAGAAAATCCCTCCTCTTTCTCCCTAACCTCTCTATGACATTTGACATAGCTGAAAAATACCTTGTGTGCTCTTTGCCCTTGCCTCTCAAGAAATGACTATGGGGGCTGGTGCTGTGGAGGAGTGGGTAAAGCCACTCACATCCCATGTGAGTGCTGCGTGGTGTCCCAGCTGCTCCACTTCCAATCAAGTTTCCTGATAATGGCCTGGGAAAGCTTGGAAGATGGCCCAAGTGCTTGGGTTCCTGCACCCCCGTGGGAGACCCAGATGAAGCTCCTGGCTCCTGGTTTCAGTCTGGCCCAGGCCCAGCTGTTGTGGCCATGTTGGGAGAGAAGCAGCAGATGGACGACTTCTCTCTCTCTCTGTCTCTGCTTCTCCCTAACTCTGCCTTTCAGATAAATAAATAAATCTTAAAAAAAAGAAGAAAGAGAAGGAAAAGAAGGAGAAGGAGGACAAGGAGAGGAGAAAGAGAAGAGGAAAAGGAGGAGGAAGAGAGGGAGGAGGAAAAAGGGGAGGAGAGGGAAAAGCAGGAGGAGAGAGAGGGGGAGGAGGGGGGACGAAGAGGAGGAAGAGAAGGAGAAATAATGACTATGGAGGAGGAGGAATAATAATGACTATGTAAACTCTAGGAACACTCATTCTTTTCTCTTTACCGATTTCTCTCTTCCTTCTTCTGTCTTCCCACACACGAGAGATTCCCTCAATTTTACTTCATTGCTTTCTGTATTATTTGCCTTGGTGCTCCCATCCTTTTTGTGACTTCCTTTCTATGCAGATGAAGTCCAGTGTCTTAACTCTAAGTTCTGAATGCTGTTTGGCCAGTGCTCCCAAAACTAATTACTGATGCTGTAACCTGGAGGTCTTGGCAGCACAAAGATCCACGTTCCTTAGACACAGTGTTCTAACTTCTTTTTCAGTTAATGGCACCACCTTTCTTGCAGTGATTGGAGCCAGAACCCTGGAAGAATTCTCTGATACTTTCTGTTCATTCCTGGCTACATTCAGTCAGCTGCAGAGTGAATGGTTGGTGCCCTGTGAATTTTTGTAATTGAGGCCTTCCTTTAAATTCCCACTGCCATCTCTCTAATGCGGGTTTATTACTTCTTATATGTAACAGCTTCCTGATTTTGTTCTCTGCTTGTCTTCTCCACTCCAATTTGTCTTATGTACTGCTTCTAAGTTAATTTTTTATAAAGTTATAATAGCACTGATGTGCTCAAAAACTTTCAAAAGTTTCCCAATGAGTGGACTGCTAACCCCTCAAATTGGCATAAAATCTTTCACAGTATGTCCCCACACATGATATTTTTCCTCAATATATGTTTGTGAATATATACTTATATATCATTTTCTCATTATATCTTTATAAATACATACTTTATGTATACACAGACACATACATACACAAACTATACTATTTGTTCTCTAGGTATACTTTTGTTTTTCCCAGTTTTGAATGTTTGCTTATGCTTTCACTTTACATGGAATGACTTCTAATTCCCAACCATCTTTTCTGCTAGTTAAAGAAATATCCAGCTGTTGAAATCTTTCCTTATTTTTTCCTTATTCCTACCAACTGGCTGACAATATTTTTTCCTTCTCCCTGCCTTTAAACCCACAACACTCTCAACCTATATCTTTCTGCTCTATAATCATGTAAACAACATGGACATACTTAACTACCTTGAGGTTTGTACCTCAAATGTAAGCCATGTTAGTTGTTGAAATGAATCTGAAATGTCTCAAAAATACAAATCCCCATTTTCTTCAGCTGTCACAAATGAAAAGTAATGAAAAATTTCTCCTCTTTATTTTCTTTTGAGATAAATTATTTCAATAGGTAATTTTCGATTAATCACAATATTACAGAATTTGTGCAGGGTCATTTGATCTTTACATCTGCATACAAGGTACATAAGAAAGTTTGTGGAAAATGGAATTAAAAGGTAAGTTTGAGTGTAAAAATTTTTGAAATACATGCATAGTTCTTTTCATGATATGTATATACATGAGCTTTTTGAAGATACCTAATATATGAATTATAGTATTTCTTTAAGTTATTTTACTCAAAATTTTATTTTTCTATGTTGTATTTCATTATTTCACCATATAACACATTTCTAAGTTATTAGTAGGTTCTTAGGATTTTTATTCCTACTATTTCAAAATGAGACCAATCTTACTATATCAAATAACTTACATTTTCCTTTTATCTTTGGGAAAGACTTTTTATGCTTATTTTAAATTTCTTTCAAGTAGTCAAGTGTTCACATATAAAATGAAAATTCTATTATCAAATATTTTGATAAGGTAAGCTAGTAGTAATACTAACAATAAAAGTAAGCCACTTGTACTAGTACTCAAAATAATATATCACAATTAATCATTTACTGTTTGAAATAAGTCAGTGTGTGAAGTGAGATTACCTGCTATTGTGTTGAGAAACATCAAGTATTCGAAATTTGAAATCTCTCTGTGTTGCCACCGCTGGGTCATATTAGAAGCTTTGAAAAGTTGACGTGGACTAGCTAATGAAATACGCCTACAAGAAAAAGAATCCAACATACAGTAAATTTAAAGATTAATTATATCACAATAATAAATCATGAATTATCTGTGCTTATTCATTCATAATGAAATCTATAATTTTAAAAATTCCTATTCATGTTAGACTAATGAATACTGGAGACATTTCAATCTACATTTAACAGTTAACAAATGATTTGGACCAGCCACAGGTCTATTATAAATATTCATTCATTCAGGTAAGCTGTCATTACAATGTCATTATAATATCCAGGTTCCAACAAGGTTGATTAATAGTGGTATGATTAATAATTCACTGATTTACTGACATAAAAAAGGAATTACAGTAATTGTGAAATACATATAAAATTCTATTCATGTCTTTATCAATTTTAATAGTCATATATTAAAGACACATTTGTACCAAGTAAATTTTAAGATTATATTTGCATATTGTTACTGCAAGGTAAAAGAGAATCCTAAATTATTTAGGTATCTACTTATGGGGTGACATAAACTACTGAGTTTCTAAAATACAGCTTAACAGAAGACTACGTTTTCTAAGTTCTCTTAAGGGAATATAAATACTAATGAACACAAATGATCAATATTGAACAGTAGGAAATAGGTGGCAGAATGAATTCTGACATTCAAACTATATAGTCTCAGAGAACTATGTGGTCACAATTATTTTTAACACATGGAAACAATGACTATATTGTTAAAAGATTCATTGAGGTACAATTTACACGCCATAAAATGTATCCATTCTAAGTGTATAATTCAATGATTTTTCTTAAAAAATTTTCTAGATTGTGCAGTTATCACCACAATCAACTTTAGAACATCTTCATCACCACACAACTTGCCTTGTATCTACTTACTATTAATCTCCAGTCCTACCTCCAGCTCCAATTAACTATCAATCTATTTTCTGTTTGGATAAACCTGCCTTTTCAGAACACATTAGATAAATAAAATTACTCATTAGGTTGCCTTCTGTGCAAGGCTTCTTTCACTAACCACAACAGTGTTGAGTTCCATCAACATAGCATGGATTGTTGGTTCATGTCTTCTTAGTGGTGAATAGTAATTCTTCATATGAATATTGAATAAATCATATTTTGCTTATCTAATGATGGACATTTAAACTGTTCCCAGTTTTTAGTTATTATGAATAATTCTACTATGAACATTCACATACATACTTTTGTGCAAACATACATTTTCATTTCTTTTGAGTGGATGCCTAAGTATAGAGTTTCTGTGTTGTGTGTTAAGTTAAACTTTTTGAGAAGCTGCCAAATTGTTTTCCAAAATATCTAAACCGCTGGACAGTCTAGCCAGCAATGTATGAAGAAATTACCACAATGTTTGCCAAAACTTACTATTTTATATATTTTCATTATAGCCATTCTAGTTGGTATGAAATGGTATCTTCTCTAGTTTTAGTGCCCATTGTTGAGCATCTTTTCCTGTGATTACTAATTTTTTTATATTCTTTGGTGAACTGACTATTCAAATCTTTTTTTACATTCTAGATAAAAGGTTGTGATGGTTAATTTTGATGTTTCAACTTAACTGTGTTAAGGGATACCCAGAGATCGCTGGTACCTCATTATGTTTGGACAGGCTGTGAGCATGTTTCCAGAGAGATTAGCATTTGAATCAGTTGCCTGAGTGAAACAGATTGCTGTCCCCACTATGGGCACCTTTCAGTCTTTTGAGGACTGAAAGAACTAAAAGAAGGAAGGGTGAATTTCCTCCTTTCATTCACCTACAATATCCATCCTCTCCTACCTTTAGACAGTGGAGCTCCTGGTTCTGGCCATCAACTCTTCCCCTCCCCCAACCCCATTCTCAGGCATTCTGGCCTTGGACTTGGCCTTTGGGTCTCCCTGCCCATCCTAGCATCATAAAGCTTTTCTCCTATTTTTTTTTAGATATCTTATAGTTTTAGCTCTTATATATATGTAAATGACATGTATTGAGTTCTTATATACAGCATGTTTTCAGCATCCAAGCTTTCCTATATGTGAACATCCATTTTTAAATGTAAATCCATTTTTAAATGTATCAGTACCATTTTTAAAGATTATTCTGTTCTAATTGAATTGTGCTAGCATCTTTGTAGAAAAACAACTGAGAATATTTTTGTATTTCCAGTTCTGTTCAACTGATTTACTGCTTATCCTTGTATAAATCTCAAACTCTCTTAATTAGTGCAATTTTATGGTAGGTTTTTAAATTGGGTAATGCAAGTCCTCTAATTCTGTTCTTCTCATCCCATATGGTCGCTGGGTTCTAGTCCTGGTTGCTCCTCTTCCAGTCCAGCTCTCTGCTGTGGTCTGGGAGGGCAGTGGAGGAAGGCCCAAGTGCTTAGGCCCTGCACCTGCATGGGAGACCAGGAAGAAGCACCTGGCTCCTGGCTTCAATTGGTGCAGCACCGGTTGTGGTGGCCATTTGGTGAGTGAACCAACGGAAGGAAGACCTTTTTCTCTGTCTCTCTCTCTCACTGTCTATAACTCTACCTGTCAAAAAACAAAAAAGAAAGAAATGGTTTATATTTTCATTCTACAAATCTTATACTTCTTTTGTGATCTCTGAATGAAGATTTCTTTTTCTTACTTTCCAATCTGGTTTGCTTTAATTTTTCCTTCCCTTACTTCTGCACATTCTTCCTTGATGCACATGCTGAAATTTCTGATAACATGCTGACTAAAAATGGTGAGAACAGAGGATATTTTTGTCTTCCTGAACACAGGAGGAAAACATTTCAGCCTTTCAACATTAAGTATGATGTATGCTATGGGAATTTTGGGTAGATATTTTTTAATGCAGGGGGCAGGGAGGAGAAGAGGGGAGAGAACACTCCCATCTGTTGCAATGGCTGGAACAGGGCTAAGCCAAAGTTGGGAACAGGGAACTCAATCTAGGTCTCTCATGTGAGTGACAGGACTTAACTACTACAGACCTCATTTGCTGCCTCTCTAGGTCTGTATTAGCAGCAAACCAGAAACAAGAGCCAGAGCTGGGAATTGAACACAGGCACTTTGAGGAGGGCCATGAGTATTTTAAGCCATGGCTTAACTGCTGGTCAAACACCTGCTCCTGGCAGACTATTTTATCGGTTTATGGAAACTCCTTTCTATTCCAGTCAGTTGAGAGTTTTAATCATGAATGTGCACCAAATGCTTTTTAGTCCGTGGAGATAACTGTGTGGTTTTTGTCCTTTATTCTATTAAACTGGTCTACAACATAAATTGATTTTTCAGATTTTAACCAATCCATAGTACCCTGGTGAAATTTATATGGCCACTATATAATCCCTTTTATAAAATGCTTTATTTGGTTTGCTAAATTCTATAAAGGATTGTTGTATCTGTTCAGGAGGAAAATTGGCCTATAGTTTTTTCTTGTTTGTTTTCTTGTGTTTGTTCAGCATTGGTATTGGAATGATACTGGCCTCACAGAATGAGTTAGGAAGTGTTCTTTCCTCCTCTATATTCTTGATGAGTTTGTGAAAGACTGAAATCTTCTATTCTTTAAATATTGATAGCATTCACTAATAAAGCCATCTAGTCCTGGGTTTTTCTTTATGGACAGTTTTTTTGTTTCCTCTACTTATTTAAAAGACAAAGAAACAGAGAGCTTCTGCCCCATTGTCTCTTGGATCACTTGCTCTGCAGGAAGCCAGCTGCCAGGTCTTGCTGACAGACACAGAGACTGATGTGAGGGACTGAGGCCTACTGCAAAGGGGATTGTGAGTGACTCATCCTGGGAAGTCTTCCAGCTCAGGCTGGATAGCTCCCACCAAAATGTTCACTGCTACTTATACATGAATAATTTGAAATAAACACGCTAAAACTATCTCAATTCAAGGCAAAATCAGCTATGCTAAAAGTAAAATATAAATTTCCACTTCTAATATGTTTCTATCAGTAGGAAAATTCTAGTGTCCTCACTCTTTCCATTCCTTAAATTAGTTAACTAAGTTGTATTGATGTTCATTCACTCAATACCTATTATGAGAGGAAATAGAGTTTCTTGGTTGCCAGGAGCGTGGGGATAGGGAAATGAGGAGCCATTGGCCTAAAGGCAGCATGAGACTATAGCTCATAATCATAATATCTATTATATACTTAATATCTGCTAAGAGAATAAATTGTATGTGTTCTTACCACAAAAAAATGTTATTGATGTGAGGTGACAGACATGCTGACAAACTTCACTGTGGTAATCATTTTCCAATGTACAAGGTTACTTAAAAAGTTTATAAAAAATGCATATTATGAAAGGTTTACATATGGATTTCAAAATTTTTCACACTAAAATAAACTTACTTTCTAATTCCATTTTCCATAAAATTTTGAAGTATCCTTGTAAAATTCTTCATCATAGTCTCATATGATCCTTTCTATTTCTGTGGTATCTGCTGTAATATCCCCTCTTTCAGTTCTGATTTTATTTGAGTCTTCTCTCTTTTCTGTTCTAGCTAAATATTTGTTGATTTTTATTTACCTTTGCCAAAAAATGACTATTAGTTTCACTGATCTTGTATACTTTTTTCTAGTCTCTACTTCATGTATTTCTGTCCAGATTTTTATTACTTCTTTCTTTGTATTAACTTTGAGCTTAATTTGTTTTTTAAAAATTTTTAAACCCTTATACTCAAGTCCTATTAAATGGAAAATACAATCCAAAACTCTGGTTATGAGTGATCCCAATTACACCATTAAAAACGTTTAGGAATAAAAATGTTTTCAATTTAATAGTAACAGTGGGATTAAGGATAACTTTTAAACTACAACATAAAAGCATATAAATCATAAGTGATTAAACTTAATGAATTTTCATAAAATATACGTGAGTAACCATCATCACACTCAGGAAATAGACCTTCAGCAATGTTTCAAAAGTCTTCTTATGTCCCCACTCAAAAATTACCACTCATATAAGGCAGGCACACGGTGTGGCAGTTAGACACTGCTTGGGATATCGATATTCCACAAGAGTGCTTGGGCTAAGTTCTAGCTCTTCTCTCAATGCCAGCTTCCCATTAACACACACCCTGGAGATCACAAATAATGACCCAAGTCCATGGGACCCAAATATCCATGTGGGAGGCACAAAGTGAGTTCCAGGCTACCAGCTTTGCCTTGGCCTACCCTGGCCTCCCCATTACAAATATCTGGGAAATGGGGACAGTGCTGTAGTATAGTGGGTAAAGCCGCCACCTGCAGTGCCAGTATCTCATATGGGTGCCGATTTGAGTCCTGGCTGCTCTACTCTGATCCAGCTCTCTGTTATGGCCTGGGAAAGCAGTACAAGATGGCCAAAGTCCTTGGGCCCCTGTACCCACATGGGAGCCCTAGAAGAAGCTCCTGGCTCCTGGCTTCAGATCAGCTCAGCTCCAGCTGTTGTGGCCATGTGGGGAGTGAACCAGCAGATGGAAGACCTCTAACTCTCCGCCTCTGTTTTACTCTGCCTTTCAGATAAATGAATAAATCTTAAAAAAAAAAAAAAAGTATCTGGGAAATGAACAAGCACATTGAAGATACCTCTCTGTTTCTGTCCCCCTCTCTCTGTGCCATTCAAATAAAATTAAAATTAAAAAACTAAAATAAAAATTACCAATCGTAAAAAATAATTGGGTTCCTGGACAACTAGCACCAGAGATTAGTTTTAAGTGGTTTTGAATGTTATGTAAGCAGAATCATTTGTCCTGGCTTTCTGGAATCATTCATCCATGTGGCTGCATGCAGCAATAACTCATTCATTTTTAATGCTGCATATTCCATGCTATGATTATACCACACACAATTTACTTATTCATCATTTTGTTGGTCGACTTTTAGGTCACTTCTAGGTAGATGCAATCCATGAATAATGAGCATTTTTATATAAGATTGTGGTTAATGTATGTATATATTTCTGTTGGACCTTTTCCTAGAAATAAAATTGTTGAATAATAGGGTATATGTATGTTCAATTTTACCCAGTATTTCCAAAGAGTTTTCCCAAGTGGCTGCACCAATTTACACCCACGTCCCCAGAAGTATATGAGAATTCTGGTTGTTCCACATCTAACCTAACCCTTGCTATTGTCTCTCTCTTTCTCATTTTGGCCACTGTGTTGAGAACACAGTAACATCACACTACATTTTTAATGGCAAAACTCAAAAGCATATATGAATTATTTGGACATGAGTAAAAATATACATTGTGATATATTATAATGCTTTAAAGATAATAACTTTAAAATGTAAAAAGTTAAATTTTCCCTCAAAGAGATAAAACATGTATCTTATGAAATGTCTTTATCTTAGTGCTGGGAAAGCTTTGAGACCATTTTATGTAATGGTTATTTGTTGAGCACATACTCTGTGCTGGAGACTCTCCTGTAGACACTGCAATTCAGTTGACTCAAAATAAAACTTAGTACATTAATCATTATAACTTACCATGAAGTATAAAACAGGTCATGCATTTCAAAATAAACAGGAGTATTAATGCATATTAGCATTAATAAAATATTAATAGGCTTTTATAAGAATATTAATACAGATTAGTTTCATGTTTTCATGATTTTCTCATATAAAACAGTACCTTGTTTGAGGCAATCCAAAACTGGTTCCAATTCCGACACGTGGTAGATAGTTAACCACTTTCTTTACTGTTGCAGGGTCTGGGAAGTTGAACATTACAGCAACTATGATAGATAATATTTAAAAATTAGAACACAATCTGATTTCCTTTAAGAAAACTGAATTTCTAGACTAACAAAATATGTACTCTTAGTTCAGAAATCTATTAAACAAAATTCTATTCCTTTTATTACAGTGTATGCCAACTTTTAGTATTAATATGCCAGAGGTAATGTTCATTTCACTTATAAACTCCTTTATCATAAATAGTTCCTTCTCTAGATACTCTCTGAATTTCTAATAACTACTGTTGTATTAAAGTGACATGAAGTTGAGATTATCTTGCTATAACTTTGAATCTACAAAACGGAAGTTTGGCAAGTCAAATATGTTTATAAATTTTTAGAAAAAAACAACTTAAAAGTTTAAGTTTATGTAGTTAATGTAGCACCAAAAAAACTACAGATATAGCTGCAAAATCATCAGTTATAATTATTTCCAACAAAGAAGAGAATGAAAATAGTATCTTTACACTGCACAAGGTTTACACTTCAAATTTCCATGTGATTCAGGGCAATGCATTTCCCGAGGAAAAATTCTCTCTCCACGGTTAGTAGTCAAATTTAAATGCTTTCTAACCATTTTCATTTCAATAATTATACATGCATGAGAATATTAATAGGGGCTGGCACTGTGGCATAGTAGGCTAAGCCTCCGCTTATGGCGCTGGAATCCCATATGGGTGCCTGTTCAACTAAGTCCCAGCTGCTCCACTTCTGATCCAGCTCTCTGCTATGGCCTGGGAAAGCAGTTGAAGACGGCCCAGGTGCTTGGGCCCCTGCACCCATGTGGGAGAGACAGAAAAAGTTCCTGGCTCCTGGTTCCAGCCGTTGCGGCCATTTGGGGAGTGAATTAGCTCATGGAAGATCTTTCTCTCTATCTCTGTCTTTCTCTCCCTCACTCCATAACTCTAACTCTCAATAAATAAATAAAATCTTTTAAAAAGAAGCAAAAAAAAAAAAATTAAGCATTTCAATGTTAATTTAGGACAGTTATTTATAAATCTTTATTCATTTTGAAAAACACAAAAATAAAGCTATAAAATTATGAGAAAAGAATTAGAAGGCATTAACTTGATAAGTCTTGAGAATTTAATTATATGATAATATCAACATCAGAAGCACAAGTGCTCATCCAGAGGAAGCTCCTCTCTCTCTAGTTAATAGTCACCAATGTTGCTGAAGCCTTTAAACAATGGCATTACCAATATATTGCAGATAAGTAAGCAACAGATAATTCCCTAGGCACCTATAAAATATTTACTCATTTACATAAGCCTTCTTTATAAATCCACTATTACATTGAATACAGGGGGGAATCTGAAGGAAAAAAAACCATCAGAGGTTGTGGCAGATGACTGAGGACATGAGGAAAAGGCAACAGAAACACACACCAAGGGAGCAAGTGTGCATCAGAAATCCCAGGCAGGGAAAATGAGTGCGGATGAGCAAGTAATACGTATGTAAGGCTGCAACCCCTCTGGAGTAAGAAGAGTGCAGCCCGAACTAAAGTGCTAAACATTCTCTTGATTTTTTCCTCCGAAGAACAATGTCTGCATTAGGAAAAAGAGGCATGAGCTGGGGAGGAGAAAAGCATCCTTCCCTAAAGAAATTTTGTATTCCCAAAAGATGTGTATTTTCATAAAAGAAAAAAAAAAGTAGGGGCCAGCATTATGGGCCAGTGGGTAAAGCCACCACCTACAACACTGTCATTCCACGTGGGCACTGGTTCATGTCCCAGTCGCTCCACTTCCGATCTAGCTCCCTGCTAACAGACTGAGAGGAGGAGCGAAGGATGGATCAGGTGCTTGGGCCCCTGCTACCCAACGGGAGACCTGGAGGGAGCTCCTCGATTCTGGCTTTGGACTGGCCCAGCCCTGGCTGTTGTGGCCATATGGGGAATGAACCAATGGATGGAAGGTCTCTCTCTCTCTCTCTCTCTCTCTTTCTCTCTCTCTCTCTGTATGTGTGTGTGTTGTCTCCCTCTCTATCCTTGACTTTCAAATAAATAAAGTGTGCATATATATATGCTGTCATGTGTAGGTTAAAAAATAACTACAGGAAGAATAAGAAACCATCAACTTACAAACGCACAGGTAAACATACAATGTACTGCTAGGTATTACACAATGTCCCTTGCATGCCTCCACTCATACCCAATGACATGCCCTTCAACTTCAACTTGTCATCTTGCCTTGTTGTAATGAATTTCAACAAGTTCCACTCTAAACTCGAAAACTGACTTTTTAATTTGATAAAATTTCTCTTTTTTAAAAAAAGATTTATTTATTTATTTGAAAGAGTTACACAGATAGAAAAGGAGAGGCAGAGCGAGAGGAGGTGGGGGAGGGGGTCTTCCATCCACTGGTTTACTCCCCAATTGGCCACAACGGCAGGAGCTGAGCTGATCTGAAGCCAGGAGCCTGGAGCTTCCTCCTGGTCTCACACGCAGGTGCAGGAGCCCAAGGACTTGGGCCACCTTCTACTGCTTTCCCAGATAATAGCAGAGAGCTGGATTGGAAGTGGAGCAGCCAGGACTAGAACCAGCACCCATATGGGATGCTAGCATTGCAGGCGGCAGCTTTGCCCACTACACCACAGCACCAACCCCTTGATAAACTTTCAAGAATGATATAATGCAAAGCAACCAAGACAACCCAGTACTATTTTCTGATGGTCCCTTTATAAATAATAATAGACAAAAGATCAAATAAATGTATCTGCTTATCCTCTTCTGCCTCTAAATTGCAGCCACCTTCCAGAAGCAGCTTAAGCATCAAAGCAAAGCCAAAGACATCAAAACTCTACAACTCATTAAGTGGACATTTGTTCCCAATACTTATAAAGTGTTGCACAATTAGTGATATGGCCAGGAAAAAAAAAAACAGAACTACAAATGAGCCTACAAAAGATCAGGGGGGGGAACCACAAAGTGCATGTGGTAAAAGAACAGAGACGAGTGTCGCAGAGGGTAGAGTACATCACACTATCTAAACAGCAACAACACAGCATGCTCAAAAACAAAAATCCTATAGAGACGGAAGTTAGCTGGGTTAGCTGGTTAACAATGCACTTCTGCAGCATATTACCTCTGTTTGCCATAAAGATCTCCAGGGCTGTATTTTGCAAAAGATAACGACGAGAGAAAATTGATCGTATCTCTGAGAACAGCCATTTTCCATGCAGCCCTTCTGTATATGCCAGAATCTAGTGAGGAGAAAACAATGCCACGTAAGTGATGAGGACTAAGGCAGAAAAGGCACCATTAAGAACAGTCATTTCTACAAAAATGAATTTAACAGCTATTGTAACAGTTTGCAGAGAAACTGAGAAAATGTAATTTATAGGAAAATATATTTAATGAAAAGCAGTATAAAATTATAAAATATAAAATAATAAATACAGATTGGGACTTTTCTTATTTTCTAAAGATTTATTTATTTGAAATGCAGAGGTACAGAGGTAGAGAGTAGAGAGAGATTTTCCACTCAATGGTTCACTACCCAAATGACTGCAATGCCCAGAGCTGGGCTGGTCCGAAGCTAGGAGCAAGGAGCTTCTTCTAGGTCCACCATGTGGCTGCAGGGACCCAAGTACTCAGCCATCCTTTGCTGCTCCTCCCAGGCCATTAACAGGGAGCTGTATAGAAGTGGAGTAGCCAGGACTCCAACGGGTGCCATACAGGTGCCACTGCAGGCTGTGGCTTTATCTGCTATGCCACAATCCCAGAACCCCATATTGGGACTTTAAAAACAAATATGTAATCCATTGCTTCTCAGAAAACGTAAGTGGCATTACTTATTGATTATGAAAGGTAACATGAAGGATCTCTGTGAGTGAGACCTCAGTGGAAAGAAGGGGCCATCAAAGAAGGAGGTGCCTTTCTCTGAAGGGAGGAGAGAACTTCCACTTTGATTATGGCCTTGTCTAAATACTGACAGAATTTGTGGACTCAAGAGGCTTCCAAAGCCTTGGCAGCTCATGAAAAGAGCCTCAGGTGATCACTGATGTCATACATATGAGTGTCAATTGTTAAATCAACAACAGGAGTCACTGTGTGCTTGCTCCCCATGTAGGACCTGTGTCCTTAATGAGTTGTACTATAAGAATTAATTGTAAAACTTGTCTTCAAACAGTAAATGTACTGTTTGTGTGTCTGGGTGGGTGCAAACTGTTGAAATCTTTACTCAGTATAGAGTTGATCTTCTGTATATAAAGATAATTAAAAATGAATCTTAATGAAGAATGGGATGGGAGGGCAGGTATGGGGGGAAGAACCGCTATATTCCTAAAGTTGTACCTATAAAATCTGTATTCATTAAATAAAGGCTTTCTAAACAAAACAAAACAAAACAAAACAAAACAAAACAAAACAAAATAAATAAAATTTGACCTCATAAAGGGTATGTCCATTAAAAAAATTCCACAGACAAAATTCAGCTTTCCCCAATATTATAATTTACACAGTAGAATTTTCTACATGCTTCAAAAATATACCTATGGGTTCATAACTTTAAAAACATGCACACTTTTAAGGTCACGATTAGGAAAACAGTCACTCATTCAGAAAGCACAAAGACTGTATGAGGTTAAGTATCATTTTGTCAGTGAAGGCTAAATACAAACCTGCAAATGAACTCAGCATAATGGCTCTGTGGAGGAGGTGGTTGTCAGAGTAACTTGTTTCAATTCCTGTCATCCCATGTGACAGACACAGTTGCTTAAAATGCTTTGCCAATTCAAAGTAATCCTGTCTCTAGTACTAAGCCACTTTGTTGCTTTGTTATTCAAGTTTTGTTTTCTTCAAAAAGTTCATTTCAGAAGTTTAATTGTATTAGGAATACTAGATTCAGCATTTATACCAGTACTATATGATATTAATAAAGAAAATAAGATGCATTTGATACCAACATCTGCTGAAACTCAAACAAATCAGGCCAAAAATGAAGATACAGTTTTCAGAAGTAATCACCACTAAAAAAATACAAATAAAATAATCTTTGAAAGGGAAACTGCATTCTAGGGATAAAGATAGGAAGAACAAAGAAAGGAAAAGAAACCGATATTAAGAATTTATCCTTCACAAACTGTTCATCATTTCTGTTTTCCAAATCCAAAATGCAAGCAAATCTATATTCTTCAAAGTGAAATGCAGTGTTCTTTTAAATAAAAAATCCTTAATTACTTTGATAAGTATGAATTTCAATTTTTTCTACAGAAATGATTCTGTTTCTAGCACCACAGGAGCTAGAAAATGGGTATAACTCTAAGGTGGAGTGTTTCTTGAAAATCAAAACAAAAAAGTTCAAAGGACAAGACAACTAATTAAGCTTTCAGTTTTGAAAGTGATGACAGAAATCCTACTAACTCTGTCATACAACCAATACTGTGTAGGATCAAGAGAAAATAAACAGAAAGAAAAAGGACAAAAATACTAGCACTACACTCAAGATTTTTAAAAATTACTTTTTAATTTTTACTTTCTTTGAAAGGCAGAGAGATGCAGAGACAGACAGAGGAGATCTTCCATCGTGGTTCACCCCACGAACGTCTGCAATAGACAGGGCCAAAGCCAGGAGCCCAGACCTCAAGCCAGGCCTCCAACATGGATGGCAGGGACCCAAGGACTTGAACCCCTACCTGCCGCCACCCAGGGTGAATATGAGCAGAAAGCTAGACTTGAACCACGCACTCCCATATGGGATGTGCATGTTCCAAGAGGCTACTTAGCACCTAGACCAAACACCTGCCCCTCAAGACACTTTTGAAAAGTATGCCTTTCTCTCATCATGACCAGAGATCTTTGGCTAGTCTAAATCACCAGGGTCTGTAGTGACCTCCTGTTTGGTCTTCCATTCTTACCTCTAAAGCCGGAATTTTTTTTTTTAAATCAGGTAACATCACTCCTGTGTGTCATCCAGTGACCTCCCATTACATGTAAAATAAACTCATTGGAATTGTTTATACAGCCTCACATCTGGGTCTTTCTAAAGAGCCAAGCTCACTCCCTGCGGGGCCTTAGCTGTGCCTGTTTTCCGCCCTGCCTGGAACGCTCTTCCCCCAAGTCTCTATGGGGCTGGCTTATTCTAAGATTCACATTTCTGCCTATGTCACCTCCCCAGAGCAGGCACAGGATCTAAACCCCATTTCTTTGGGCCTTATCTCATCCCACCCCAAATCCTTCAGATCTTCTTCATGATAATTATCACTACCTAGAATTGTATTCGCTTGTTGAGTGCTTCTTCTGCACTAGAATACCAGAATCTAAGTTGTTTCTGAGAAAAGATTCTGAATCTACTCCATTTCTACTGTACTGGACAATATTTCTCCAAAAGGAGATTTTTTTTTCTGCGTGACTGAATGAAATTATGATGTATAGCTACCTAAGCTCCATACATGGCCTAAATTAAATTTACTTGGCCTATATGATTTTTTAAAATATATTTATTTTTTGAAATGGGGTAGAGAGAGAGAAAGAGACAGAGAGAAATGCTTCCTCATCTATTGGTTCACTCCCCAAATACACACAATGAGTGCTGCTGGGCTGGACTGAAGCCAGGAGCCAAGAACTCAGTGGCAAGTACTTAACTACTTGAGTCTCCACTTGCTGCCTCCCAGGGTCTGCTTGACTCAGGAGCCAAAGTTGTGAATTGATCCCAAGCACTTCTATGGGGCATACGGACATCTTAACAGCTAGGTTAAATGCCTGCTGTGTTTGGCCTGTATGATATTTTAACAAAATCTCAAGTAGTTGGAAATACTTGAGAAAAATGGGTATTACATAAATATTCAACTTCTGGCCTCTCAGGAAAGATTGGAGGATGTGGCAAACCTCAATAAATATGCCACATGAACTCTGCATTTTGACAGTTTCTACTTCACTCATTACTGTTTACTAATATGAAATAAACATTAACTCACTATTATCTGCTTAGTTTCCATCGGCATATGAGTTTGCTACCCCGTATTTATCAAATACTAGAGAATATTAGAGAAGCTACTCTATGTCCTGTAACACTTACAAAGCAATATATAAAACTGTTCTATATTCCTACGAAAAATGAGGCCCAGACATGTTAAATATTTAAAATAAATTTCCCTGGCAAATTAGTGACAGAACATGGCCTATTCTCAGGTTTTCCAACCAGAAAATCTAGAGCTTCCATTATGTACCACATTATCACAATTCTAAAAAAAGAGTAAAACATTTGTTAAATTAAAACCCTTCTACATTTGTTTTCCAGCACTTGGGTTAAAGGAGACAGAGGAAAGTGAAAAACAACAAGGCTCCTCCAAGCTCTGAGAGATGCGAGCAATATCGTGCATTGGACTGAAAGTCTAGCCTCTATATCTGCAGAGCTATAAAATCAAATTGTGTTGTTCATAATGATGATGCTAATCATTGCAAACTCATGGTGATGCAACCAAAGATTTAATTATATTCTAGGGTACTTCATTTATTAGCAGAACTGAATAAACTAAATCAAACATTCAATTTATATTCCATTTCTCAAAACAATATGGTTATTCAAAGATCTACTTGAAATACAACAAGTGTCATGCTCCTTTAAAATTTGTTTTATTACCAAATGTCAAAACTATCCGAAAGCAAATAAAATGACATAATCCCTATGCACTCACTACTCAACCTTATAAAATCCTAATATTTTGCCATGTTATTGCATATAGCTTAAAAATTAATGAAAGAATTACAGATATTGTTGAAATTCCTAAGCACAACCCCACCTGCCCTCATTTTCCTCTTTTGTCAGAGCCAATTGCTTTCCTTATTTTGAGGTTTACCATACCGATGTAAGATTTGTCACAATTAGTACACAAAGACGCACATAAATAGTATATAACATGACTTTGAATGTTTTCAAATGTGATATAAATGGTTTCACACAGAAGGTGTGGTAATGTGCTTTAAAAGTTAAGTACAAGAAGGTCTAACAAACGTTTTAAAAGTCAGAGAAAAACAGTACAGACAGAAAGCTATTCATGTTGCCAAAGATATGAAAAATTAAAATTTTGCACAAAAATACCAGTCTCAGTTTTAAAAGAAAAGATTAGCAAATGAAATTCTACAGCTACAGTCAAGACAGATGGAGTTGAGAACAGAAATGAAGAATCTCTTACCTAAACAATTACTAGCTGAAATTGATACAATATTTCTTTAAAGTATTCATTAGGAAAAGGTGTCCGTA